TGCTCAATTGTGTTAGTCGATATGCACATTAATGACTATCATATTGCACCATAGTGCCCGAAGCCGGCCGAACATAGTTTTTGGGTTCGTGTTTTATATAACAATATTAACTAAAACATTAAACTACTAAATATATTTTTTTGTAATATGATTTATAAATTATTTCGACTACTTATGTTAATTAGGTTAACCAATCAAATAAACTAACAATTTTGTTCAACGTTATTTTGAGTTTGGGACAGATCATAAAAAGTGCATGCAGTGCAATTGCACAAGTGTGTTATACGAAATGCACATTAATGACTACCATATTGCACCGTAGCGACAGAAACCAAATGAATTAAGTTTTATGGTCTAGCTTTTAAATTTGGTTCGATTAATTGTTTTTTACTATTAAAACTTTAGTTATACATATTATGTATTTTTTCCAATTAAAAAATTAAATAAATATATTAAAATATTAATTTATTTTTACAATATAAATCACAATTTATTTTCAATTGTTTTGGTTATTTCAATTATCCAATCGAATAATTCGATCATTTCGGCGAGTTTAGTTTTTTTTTTCAAAACTTTGACTCGATTATTTATATTTTAACGTTTCGATCGGCTAGATCAACCGAAGATCAATCGTAAATTGGCAAGTGACATATATTTAACAAAGAACATATATTATATATATGTACTTTTAATAGTTCATGTTCATATACACACATGTTAGTGTGCAATTTATATATCACTAGTGCATTTACTATTTTTTATTAATTAAATATTTAACACATATACCTAATTGTAATATTAAACTTTTTTAAAATTGCAATTAAGTCCCTCTAAACTATCAAATTCTCAAAAGGAAGCCCCACAAATCAAATTTCAACTACATTCATCATCCACTGTTCATCCGGCAGCCCGCCGCCGCTGACCCTCGTCAAGGACGCACTCAACACCGCGACAACCCGGCGCCACCCAACACGCCGTCGCCGTCACCGACGCCTCCGAGTTCTGCCGGAACAAGAATGTCAGTCATCTCACTTGGTCGTCGTCTCCAAAGCTTCGTCGCTGACTGCCTCACATCCGTCCGTCGCCGCGTCGCCTCGCCTCAGTCAGTCGCCTATTCGTCTCTTCTCCGTCCGCTGCCGCTCGATTCGTCTTCGGCCGCCCTCGCTTGATTCGCCTCCGTCCACTGTCGCGACCGTTGTCGAGACTCCTTCCATCGCAGTGTCATCTCGCCTCCGCCCGCTGCCACGTCGCCTTGCATCCATCGTTGCCACGGCGAGTCTCGTCCATGGCCAAAGTCTGTGCAATTCTCTGTGTGTGTGTGAGTAGGTGTGTGTTGCTGCGTGTGAAAGAGAGAGAAATTAGGGTGAGATAAATGAGGGTGTTTGTGGTGGGTCCCACTTATGAGATGAATTGATTTACAATTACTAATATAGCCTTAATAGTTGGTCAAATATATATATTTGACCAACAATGTGTATTTATTTACCATACTGCCATTAATGACTTACTAGAGTTTGACTTGATCAAGAC